GTTATTTACTTATTGTATACTAGAGGCCCGGTGCATGGATTCGTGCACATTGAAAGAAAATTAATTAGAAGAAAGATTCGTGTGGTACATTACTGCAAAAAATTACATGTCAAAATAGTATATATAATATATTATAAAATTAAAACACAAAATATTTTAATATCGCTATTCACCCTTTCTCTATAATAGAAGTGTCAGAGATGAAAGAAAAGTAGTAAAATGCATATGAAAATAATATGTAAATTGATTAATAAATAAACAATATTCCGTCAACAATGTCGCTTTCTTTTGGCTCCAAAGGTACGTTGTGCCAATAGTTGGTCTTCAAATATATTCTGGCATTGCGTGCAATTGGCACCAGCAACAGCTTTATATGTATTGCGCATGCGCGAATCAACGTTTATTTTTAAATTGCCAATGCATGTCATATGTACCAGCCAGTTGGTTGGCCAAACAGATGTATGGTCAGTCACTTAGTCTTTTATATATATAGATGGCTGCTTTTATGCTACAATGGCAGAGTTGGGCATTTTTATCCCATTTTACAAATGAGAACCAAGTTAAAGAATATACTCAAGAGTACACTCCCAGTACAAGAAGTTGTGTATATTACTCCCACAGGGCATCAAAGAAGACATTCAATTTCTCTTGAATATCAAAAGCACAATTCTAGGAGTAAAATAATTTTTTCAAGTCTCATATAAATTTATTTTCCTGAAATTTAATCATATTCAAAATGAAATTGGAAGTTATTCACTAAACCATTTCTTAGTAGCATATTTCTATTTTGCTATTCATTCCACTAGCCTATTTTCCTTTATTACTGTTCTATTATATACTAGAGATCCGGTGCACGAAATTCATGCACTGGGGGGAGGGGGTGTCCCTCAGCCCAGCCTGCACCCTCTCCAATCTGGGACCCCTCGTGGGATGTCCAACTGCCGGTTTAGGCCCAATCCCTGTGGGACATCCTTCTCACAATCCAGGAAGGCTGGCTCCCAACCACTCGCCTGCCTGCCTGCCTGATTGCGCCTAGCCACTTCTGCCTGCCAGCCTGATCACCCCCTAACCACTCCCCTGCCAGCCTGATCGATGCCTATCTGCTCCCCTGCCAGCCCGATTGCCCCCAACTGCCCTCCCCTGCCGGCCTGGTTGCCCCTAACTGCCCTCCCCTACCAGCCTGGTACCCCCAACTGCCCTCCCCTGCTGGCCTGGTCCCCCCCCAACTGCCCTCCCTCCCCTGCTGGCCATCTTGTGGCTACCATCTTGTGACCACATGGGGGTGGCCATCTTGTGTGAGGGCATGATGGTCAATTTGCATATTACCTCTTTATTATATAGGATTGTTAATAATAAAATTTAGTAAAAATTGACAATATGAGAAAAGTTATCAGCAACAAAAGAATACAAGAGCTGTAAAACTCTACAAAAACCATGAAAATTTATTTATGAGGAATGGCAGACAACAAATGAAAATTTCATACTGATAATCTGAGTGATGATTGGTGGTCGAGCATCAACCTATGAACCAGGACATCAGGGCTTCCTCTATGAAATCAATAAAAATATACTTAAAAAAATAAATTAAAACAGGCTCTTAATTCCTTTACTTTCCTTGTATTTCCTTTCAGAGACAGATGAAAAATATATTTTTAAAAAATCCTTCTTGAAATCCTCAATTTCTTTGGCTTCTCTGATATTATTTTCTTGAAGTTTTTGTCCTTCTCTGTCATCTTTTCAAGTTTCTCTTTTATTATCTGACTGTTAAATACGGATGGCCCCAGAGTTATTCTGGATTCTCTTCTCTTTTTGTTTGGCACATTGTCTTTGAGAAATTTTATTCACTCCCATAGTCCCATGTGCCAACTATACTTTTTTAAAAATATATTTTTTTTATTGATTTCAGAGGAAGGGAGACAGAGAGAGAAATAGAAACATCAATGATGAGAGAGAACCATTGATCAGCTGCCTTCTTCATGCCCCCCTCTGGGGATTGAGCCCATAATCTGGAATCAAACTGTGACCTCCTGGTTCATAGGTCAACGCTCAACCACTGAGCCATGCCAGCTGGGCCTAACTGTACTCTTTTAATTACCAATTCTCTCTCTCTCTCTCTCTCTCTCTCCCCCCTTCCTCTCTCCCTCTCTCCATTTCTCTATCTCCCTCTCTGTCTCTATTTCCATCTCCATCTGTCTGTCATTTCATCCAACAAATATTCATTGGCAGTTATTCTATGCCAGGCATCATGCCAAGCACTCTGGCCCAGATTCCTGCCAGAGCACCAGATCCACATAACCAGTTTGATTTCTTTGTGTCTCAAAGGCATCTCAAATTCAAGATGCCCAGAACTAAACATATTATTCCCTAATTTTCCAAACATGTTCCTCACTCTGTATTTTCTGACCCAGAGACAAGAATTATCGTTCACCCCAGTGCCCAATCCAGAATTCTCAGTCATATCTGAGTTCTCCATAATTATCCTCCCTGCTTCTAATTAGTTGCTAAATTCTACCTCTTAAGTACAGGGTATACATACTTTAACACCTGATAGCTCAATTTTGAAAATGAAATGTATTTTAATAAGGACTGTCTTTATAATTATTCAAAGTGTCTGTATACATTTTTTAGGGGCACTCTATATTTTGGTCTTTTATGGTTGTTTTGTGCCCAGGCTCTGGAGTCAAATCACAGCTATACCATAGCTGACTGCCTAACATTAAAAATAAGTTGTTTTTACAGCATCAGCTATGGACCAAAGGGTTGCAGGTTCGATCGCCAGTCTTGGTTAGGCGTGTTCAGGAGGCAACCAGTTATTGTGTCTCTCTCATATAGATGTTTCTCTCTCTCTCTCTCTCTCTCTCTCTCTCTCTCTCTCTCTCTCTCTCTTTCTCATCCACTTCCCTCCCTTCCCTCTCTCTCTAAAGAGCAATGTAAAAAATATCCTCAGGTGAGGATTAAAACAAAAAAACCCAAAGCTACATTACTCTCTTGATGACTCAAAGAACCAGAGGAAAGAAATATTCAGAACACCTTATTTTTTTTTATGTTGAACCAGCTCTGCTTTGAAAAGATTCTGCAGCATACCAAACCTTATAGAATAACTAATGTCTTCATTACTGCTTTCTTTGCAAGTAATTTCAACTGTTATATAATCCCATCTTGAGCTATGTTATTAAAAAGTTCTAAAAGATAGAGATATGAAAATCACAATTAGTTCCTTCACAGATGAAACCACAAAATTAATGAGGCTGCATCATTCATATAGTGACAGAAGGAAATGTACAACTTTTACTGCTATTATGCCAAAAAAATGTTAAAAGGCACAGTTCCATATCACCACAACAAATCCCGGTTAAAAATTCATGTCATTGCATGTGCATGCATTTGTAGAGTTGGGAAATCATTTGTTCAGAGATTTTTTTTAAGTAGCTAAAGACTAGAAACAATTCTAAAAAGGAAGGCATTTTTCAAATTCTGTCTCCATCCAAAATACAAAAATCTTATTTCAAAAAAATATTTGTTAGTGAACAATACATTTGGATTCTTTCTAAAACATTTGAGGCCCAAATTTATACTGCCCTGAGCTCTGTCTAGAAATAAAAAGTGCACAGATCTAAGGATGTGTACATGCTTGTTTATTACTAGAGGCCCGGTGCACGAATTCGTGCATGGGTGGGGTTCGGCCAGCCCACCCCAATCGGGGTGATCGGGCTGGGCTGGCTGTGGGAAGGGGCTGTGGGCGGTTGGCCGGCTGACCCCACCCCCTGGTTGAACTTCCAGTTGAACTCCCAGTTGAGGGGACAATTTGCATATTAGCTTTTTATTATATAGGATGCCGGTCAGGCTTTTAGCACTAAAGGGGGTGGGGGAGATATTTAACTAAAAATAAAGTTCAACAATAAAAATGACTAATAATATATCTAACTCTTAGCCTAATACCAGTAGTTTCCTTAGGTGGCAATAGAAGAAAAATAGAGTATAATGTGATAAAAGAAATATACCTGAGTCCATTCCTGTTGCCTCTATAGAATTTGATGAAATTAATAATTCCCTGCAAGGCCAATTATAGCTGCTGCTGAAACTTCGTGAAAGCATCATTTTGAACCTTTCAGTTTTGGTCTATAGCTATTACATTCTTCAGAAAAATTTTTAGCAATAATCAACATTTTCATCATATTGAGAAAAGAAATTTTGCAAGAAGCAAAAGTGGTTTATCTTTCATTCAATGCACTGAGTCTCTTTCAAGTATATACCCAATCTCTGGAGATAAATTCAACAGTGTGTTCTCAAGAACAGCCTCTCAGTCAGTCCTATTTTCAAACCAAAGATGACTGTGCTGCTGATATAGTGCTGTTGTGACAGATGACTACAGTAACAAATTTCTCTATTTAGTTAAACAGGCTCTATTCACAACAGGCATCGAACTCTTTCCTTTGTATCATTCACCAACACTCATTTCTTAGCATAAACGTTGCTTTCCTTCACATTCTGTGCAATATATGCTTAAGAAAAAACATCCAATTTCCAACACTATCATTATTGTCCCTACTTTACAATCCTACAAGGGTAGTATGGTGTAATGAAAGTTACACAAGTTTTAAAATAAGGCAGATCTTGGTTAGAACCCCATGGTCATCTAGTACAGCGGTCACCAACCTTTCAGACCTAACTGACCACCAATGGTCTGTGGACCACTGGTTGGTGACTACTGATCTAGTAGATACATGACCTCAGGAAAGTTACTTACCTTGTATTTGTTTAATTATTTGTAAAATGGGAAGAATAATACTTCATTTGAAAATTTGCTGTAAAAATTAGATGTAGTACATACACAGATGTAATCTCCTCTCCACCAAATGATAAGCACAAAAGCTGGCATTAAAGCAATAACTTCTTTCTATTTTTTTTTTATCTCTATCTTTCTGCACAGCAAGGTAATGAACGCTTTATATTTTAATAATGCTAACAAGCTCTCCATAGTTATTATTGAGCCATCTCACCTCTGTTGCTTTCATTCTCATCCAGATGACCTTTTGAGAACTGGACTCAGCTCTAGAATTTCTACATAGGCGGAACTTGGAGGAACAATCTGGTAAGAAGGAGACATTAGAAAAACTGTCTTAAAACTGAATTGTGCACAGCAAGGACATTGCTTTAATTCTAGTGTAAATAGAGGTACTTTTGCATTGATGCTGTGCTTACAAAACAAGCACCCTGCTTTTATTTATGTTGTATGTTTTAGGGCTAGCTATTCAGAAGGCTGGTGGAGATACAAAGGACCTTAAAAATCCCTCTTCTCCCATAACATCCTGCCATGATTTAGCCCATCATCAAACATTATGCTCCATGACACTTTTCAAAATAGCATTCATAGCTCACATTAGTATCCGTGCCCAGAATACTCTTCCTTTCTCACAACCTATTTATTCCTCCATGCCTACCTTAAGATATATTAAAAGTTAAAAACTACTCCTTCCCCATCATCTGATTTTGACCAAAATTTCATTTTTCTGGAATCAAGAGAACTGCAACATACTGGCTAATGCTGGGGCCAGACTGCCTGTGTTCAGGCAGGTGGGTGACCTTGGGCAGGCTCTTTATCCCCTCTGGGCCTCTCAGCTTCCTCACCTATACAATGAGGATAGCAGTAGTAATCCATCCCGCAGGATTGCTGCAAGTACTAAATGAGTAATAACTGTAAAGTTTGGCATAAAGTTAGTGATATATAAAGTTTAGCGATTATTACTACTAAGTTAAAATGGTACTTTCTTATATGTAAATACAGCCTTCATATAGGCACTTACCTAGAAGCAACTGCCTCATAATCAGCTCCTCTAGATACATGGTAATTGGTCCAACTAAGTGGTGCCTAAAATCCATTTTTCTTCCATTTTTATCTGTAGCGAAGTGTTATTTTTTCATACATTCTATGTACTTGCTATGTGCCAGACACTGTGCTGGAAGCTGAGAATATAATGGTGAATAAAAACACATACTACCTCTCCCCTGGTGATATGTATCAATAGTGGGGGAGAGCATCACCAATCCAATAATCATAAAACAAATGGAAAGCATTAACTATGAAAAATGCTACAAAGTGTGTTATATGAGGGCAAGAAGGCCAACTTGCCAAAAATCAATTTGCACAAAGCCAATTTGCCAAAAGTCAATTTTCCAAATGACTGATCCTCTGTATTCCCTAACAGACAATTCATCGAAAGCTAGTTCGCCAAAAGTCAATTTCTAGAAAATCAATTTGATGAAAAATAATCTGCCCAATCATCATTTTACCAAATGACCAATTCACTGAATTATTGGGGATGTTCTGAAGTCTTAATTTCACAGAAGTTTTGACACAGTCCTTTCATTCCAGCTCTTTAACCCCAAATTTGACAGTCAGTCTGAGCTAAATGTCAATTTCATGTTTTCACATTTCAGATGCCAAGTCCTTCTCTAATGCCCAATGTTATAGTGCTCCAATGTAAGCAAATGGTGGGCTTCTTACATGCAGTTCACTGCATGTAAGCTTGCAATTTAAGACTTAAGCTCTCCCTGCCTCTGCCTCTTCCAGAAAGGAAACTGCAGAGAACTATCTAGAACAGAGTGATACACTGGTCTTCTACAAATTGGCTTTGGCCAAATTTATTTTTAGCTAATTGGTCATTCATGGAATTGATTCCAAGTTGACTCTTTCTCAGTGATTACCTAAAGTTCATGTTTTGAAAACAGGGAATTTGGCCTAGTCAGACTGGTGAGAAAGGCTTCATTGAGGAAAAAAGTAACTGAACTGAGGTCAGAAGGATAAATTTTAAAAAGTAACCAAGCAAAAGGGGGAGGAAAGGAAGGAAACAGCATATGCAAAAAAAAACTATGTTCAGGAGGAAGCCCTGAAATTGCAAGACTTTGCAAAATAACCCAGTGTTGTTGGAGTACAGAGAACACATGAGAGCAAAGTGTGAACTAAGGCTAGAAATGTAGTTGGTAGCTAGACCATGTGTCTCACAGACTATAATAAAGACTTCTGTTCTTATTTTAAGAATGGGGATCCTTAATATATTTTAAGTAGAGGAATGACATGGTCAGTTTTGCATTTTGAAAGATCACTTCGCAAGTGGTGTGGAGACCATATTTTAATAGTGTACTGGTGCCCTAGCCAGCATGCTCAGTAATTACAGCGTTTGCCTATGCACTGGAGGGTCATGGGTTTGATTCCTGGTCAAGGACTGGTGTCCTTGTAAGAAGACGAAGAGATGCAAGAAAGCCCTCTCTTTTTCTCTGCATGGGCACATAGGAAAGGCCATGTAAGGACACAGTGAGAAGGTTGCCATTTACACCCAGGAGAAGAGACCTCATCGAAATCAACACTAATTGCACTTGGATCTTGGACTTCTAGCCCCAAGAACTGAGAAAATAAATTTCTGTTTTTTAAGTCACCCAGTTTTCAGTCATTTGTATGGCAGTTCTAGTGGACTAATACAGCCCTTACCTATTGAAAGACTTTAATGGGATATACCTCCTCTGTTATGTTTACTTACAGTAGACAAACCTGGAACCTAAGGATTTACTAGTATGGGCCAGGACACTGGAAAATGTCGGGTAAACTAGTAACTACCTGAGTATAAAATGGAAATGTCATTACTGAAAAAGCTCCCTGTGTGTAAGTGATATAGCAACTTGCATTACTAATGTAGAGACTTCATGTTAATCTGTGCCAGAGTGAATACTAATGGAAGAAAGGATGTGGGAATCTGTGTTGGTGGTCTCAGACCTCTCTCTGCCAAGCCTGTTCCTCATGATTACTTATAATGAATATTAGTAAAGCTTGATGCAGGGTAAGATCTCTGACTGTCATGTGTCTGATTTGACAATGCCATCCTTTGTGTTCAGATCACTACCTCAGAGAATTAAATAAATCAGTGCTTCTGAAAAATGCAGTGCCAAGTTCATAGCAAGTACTCATTAACTATTACTATTATTAATATGTTATTATAATCCCAAGAAATAATAAGAGCTCTCATTTATATAATGAATATTGGGTGACAGGCACTTAAGCTAAGTGCCTTCCATGGATTATCTCATTTAATCATCCAAAAAGCCCTATGTTCTATGTTTAATACCATCCTATGAGAAGCCTGAAGCCTGGAGATTTTCCCAAGGTCATATAGCTAGTAAATTGGGCCACTGGGTTTTAAACCCAGGCAATCTAACTCCCCAATAGAGCTCTTGTTCTTGATTCTCAATAACCCTGCCTTGCTACACTATTCTGTCTCTGAAAGCCATTGGAATGTCCATCCAGGTGCTATTTTAGTATGCTGAAAAGATAATTTATTAACTAGCACCAAAGTGGCCTTCAAATGTTAATGCAGTTTCTGAATATATGTGACTTTCACCAAGGGAGTTACTTACATCAGGAGAAGTAGAAAGAGAGAACACTATCTATTATTTTTACTCAATTTCTCAAAATGTAATCACCATTTGATATCCCACTGAGCATAACCCCCTGTGCTTCCCCAAAAAAGGGCACGGGCTGCTCAGTTTTGAAGCAATGAGCTAAAACTGGACCTTTAGGAAAATTAGCATGAGATTAGGAGAGTTTCTTTTTTTCTCTCTGTATTCACAGATAATGCAAGCTATTTCATGCTGTCATTGCTTTATTTTTTTAAATATATTTTTTTATTGATTTCAAAAAAGAAGGGAGAGGGAGAGGGAAAAAGAGATAGAAACATCAGTGATGAGAATCATTGATCGGCTGCCTCCTGCATGCCCCCTCCTGGGGATCGAGCCCACAACCCGGGCATTTGCCCTTGACCAGAATCAAACCAGGGATCCTTCAGTCCAAAGGCTGACACTCTATCCACTGAGCCAAACTGGCTAGGGCTCATTGCTTTCTTATAAGCAACAATAAGGATAAGCAAAGACAAGGGAGAGACAAAAATCAACTCTACCTACTTTGCTAATAGCACTAATTACATCAACATACATGATTAACATATTATTCTGGAGGATAAAAGAGTACTGATAGGATTTTAAATTATATTTTGAATTGGTACAGACATTCCACAGCCTTTATTATATAATTGATAGTATAAACTATATGCACTCAATTTAGCCTTATTCCATTTTATTCATTAATGACATTCATTTTTATAAAATATCTGTAGACTGAATATTAAATCCAATTTCCATGGATTTTTACAATCCACACAATACTGAGAATGAGTGAATAAACAACAATGTCCCTGGCACTGATGCAGGCAAGTGGAAGATTATCTAATAATGTTACCCAGGAAGCGTTATAGTGGCCATGTTTCTGTCCATTGTGGTTCAGCTTTCCATCTGAATATCAAACAGGAAGTAATTTTTCCTGTCAAAGAGAGTAGACCATAGCCTTTGCCATCACAGAAAACAGGGCATGACAAAGAAAACAAGGTTCACAGCAGTCATATTAGAAAAGGACCATATTTGAAGTATGCACTAGGAATTGCAGATGCAAAGATAAAGAAATTTCTGTGAATAGTAATAAGGGCTTTGATACAAAAAATGTCTCTATCCTATTTGCAAGGAACCCTCCAAAAGAGGATTAGGAGGAGGTGGAAGAAAAAAATCTAGATTGGACCAGAAGAGATAAGAATACTTATTAAGGAGAAAATAGAAATTGACAGTAGTATCCCATTTGTAAATAATTAATATTTAATTTTGTATACCTATACATAAGTCAACTGTACATAGAAATGCGTATTTGTTGTTTTTAGAAGTCCTTATGTAAAAAATTTCTTTCCCTAAGTATTGTTAGAAAGAGATACCAGAACTGAAAGGACCTGTTGGGAGAGGCAAAGTGCCATGGGCAGTTAGCATACTGCACATTCGCTCAGTGTATGCCAAAAACGAACAGCCCTGACCATTTCTCAAGGTTGTGTTTGCAGAGAGCAAATTGAGAGATAAGGTAATGTATCCATTCCACACAAAAAGCAGGCTTGCTATAATAACAGTGGATTCCCAAGGTCGGTGTTGCTATCATACAATATAGCCAACTGCATGTGCAGGCTCCCAACCAGGCCCTGTGTGAATGAGGGGCAAGGGAACCAAGGCAAGCATACTGATGCATCAGTGAAATAGTAACAGGCTAACTTATTAGCTTGCAAGCATGGTAAAATCAAATCTCAGAACCAACAGACCCTGTTTGGCACTATATTAAAGATCCCAGGGTCCAGAATAGATGAATGAGGTAAATCACATCTTTCATAATATGTTTTTGTTTTGTTTTGTTTAATGAAGATGGTATGTATCTTGCAAGAAAAAGGGCAGACAGAATGAACAATGCAGTTTGTGATTCAGGAAGAGAGCAAAGCTAATTGGCCCAGTATGAATATGATCATGTGATTGATCCACTGTCCTCTAGCAAGCCTATTAGCAGAAACTTGAAAAAAAAAATTTCCCGGCTGGCATGGCTCCGTGGTTGAGCACTGACATATGAACCAGGAGGTCATAGTTCCTGGTCAGGGCACATGCCTGGGTTGTACACTCTGTCCCCAGTGTGGGGCCTACAGGAGGCAGGTGATCGATGATACTCTCTTGTCATTGATGTTTCTATCTCTTTCTCTCCCCCTCTCCCTTCCTCTTTGAAATCAATAATAATATATATTTTTTAATTATCTCTGGTTTGTGGGTTTCTGGTGTTGTGGAAGGTTTTTCAAATGTCTAGAAAGTGGCTTTTTCTAGAACTCTGTAATAAACTTGCATATTTCCTTATATTTTTCAGTTTTCACATCTTTCATAAAGTTATTTGTAGCATTTAACTTTATATTATATATTAAGGAACAGAGTTCAGAAATTGATGGGGGTGGGGCAGTAGGGCAGTCATGGCTCTTATTCATTCATTAACCAAACATTAAGCATCTGTGTGTCAGCCATTAATGTGTTTGGGTTTTTTTTATTGGTCTTTGTAGAGCAGCTTTAGGTTACAGAAAAATTCCACAGAAAGTGTAAATGATTTAAATTTTTCCCTATTATTAACAACTTGTATTGTGTGGCACATTCGTTACAATTGATGAACCAATATTGGTACATTATTAACTAAAGACCACAGTTTACATTAGAGTTTCCTCTTTGTGTTATATATTCTATGAGTTTAACAAATGGATCATATCGTGTGTCCATCATTACACCATCACATAGAATAGTTTCACTACCATAAAAATCCCCTATACTCTACCTATTTATTCCTCCCTTCCCCTTAACCACCAACTGATAAAAGAGGGGAAATAAATGGTTCTTCTGTGCCATTATGTGTCAGATACTTGATGCATACTAAAACTTTTAACCTACAAAACAATCCTTGGAATAAGGTGGTACTATCCCCATTTTGCAGGTGAAGAAACAGAGGTCCAAGTGTGTAACTTACCCAAGGCCACAACATAAAAAAGAAGGTAGAATCAATCCACTTAGGTATGTTTTCAAAAACAGTAATATTTCTTCTTATTGATCTGAAAGTAAAAAAGTATAGGACATTAAAAAACAGAAAGATAACTGGCCTGCTTTGTTCCTATCTCTGATTCTTTTTTAAGTTTTTTAAAATATATTTTTATTGCCCAGCTGGTGTGGCTCAGTGGTTGAGCATCAACCTGTGAACCAGGAGGTCACAGTTTGATTCCTGGTCAGGGCACATGCCTGGGTTGCAGGCTTGATCCCCAGTGGGGCATGCAGAGAATCAATGATTCTCTCTCATCATTAATGTTTTTATCTCCTTCTCTTTTCCTCTGATGTTTCTCTCTCTCTGTCCACATGAGGATATCCCAAATTGCATTTTTACAAAAACCCAAAATTCATTATTTAATAACTAGAGGCCCGGTGCACAAATTCGTGCATGGGTGGGGTCCCTTAGCCTGGCCGGTGATCCGGGCCTATTGGGGCCGGCCAGCCAGGGGATGGGACTGCGGGAGGTTGGCTGTGGGAGTGCACTGACCACTAGGGGGCAGCTCCTGCGTTGAGCATCTGCCCCCTGGTGTTCAGTGCGTCATCATAGGGACCATCGACTGGCCACTTAGACAGATAGATAGATGATATAGATATAGATAGAGATAGAGATAGAGATAGAGATAGAGACAGAGACAGAGACAGAGATAGATATAGATATAGATATAGATATAGATATAGATATAGATATAGATAGATTATTGAGTGCTGAGTACTAGGAAATACTGCACTGGGTACTTGGTAAGGAATAGGAAGGAAGATAAACATGATCCTTGTCCTCATAGAACTTACCACCTAGGGTAGAAGAAAGATATTCAAGAATTTTTAAAAAATTAATTGTGTCAGGAAGGCCAGGGGATTGTCAAGGGCGGGGGGAAAAAAGAGACATATGTAATACCCTTTGTAATACTTTAAGCAATAAAAAACAAAATTAATTGTAATAAGTAATAGAAATACAGGATGCTCTGAAGATTTTTTACAGAATATGTGACCTAGTTAGGTAAGGCTTCCCCCGAAGATGGGACAGTTGGGATCTGAAAAAATGAGTTAGTGAGACTTGGGAAAAGGGACCATGGGAGGGAAGATCACTACAATTTATATATATATATATATATATATATATATATATATATATATATATATATATGTAATTTCCCCCTACAATGTTAAAGAGCTTATCTAAATAATTAGAGAGGTTTGCTGCAACCAGAGTAATTATTTTATGTAAAACATTCCAAAACTAAGGGGATAATTTCTACAAAAATTTTAATAAAAAAGTCACTTAATTTAATTGCACACCAAAAAACAAACAAACAAAAAACCATGAGCTTTACAGACCCTAGTTTGTTCTCTCTATAATTTGCAATGGTGTAGTATTGTCTTCTACATTGTCATTGCAGAAACTTTAAAAAGAACCTAAATAGTAAATGATAAGGTTCTCATTCCTGCCTTCCATCTAAATCTTTAAAACATCGCACAATTATCCATTCCAGCACTCTACCCATATTAGCAAACAGGAGTTTTCAGAGTTGCAAATACCTCAATCACAAAACAGGTAAAACTACAACCATGCCACAACCACCTGCTCTATACCTCATTCCTAGTTATACAATCCTGTAGTTACATGCCCCTCTCCAAGCCAGTCACAGCCTTGGTTGTCCCCAACCAGAAGGTTTTTCACCTCTCAACATTCAAAAGTAGTAATAATAGTTCTGAATTTCTATTATAAATAAGTAAAGAGGAGACACACAGGTCTTAGGGAAAAGATAAGGGGGTTGACCAAGACAGGAATCAAACAATAATTAATATTCCTATCCCCTTTTTCTTGCCTGCATCATGTGTTTTTGATTTTAGGAACCACAGAGAGAACTGTTAGCTTTTCATGTGCCTATAAACATTTATGTCCATTTTTAAAGTTTGGCATCCCCCACCATTTTCATTTTGAATTCATGTTGGTCTGTTACGACTGCTTTGATCTTTTGGGATTTTTAAAAAAATCAAGTTTCAAGTATCTAATTTTATTTGAATGTAATAACTGGTAAAATGTCTATACATCAACAAGGTGCTACCACTGTTCAAACTCCTCTCAGGCAAGAGGGCAGAAACTTACCACCCAGCTTTTGAAAAAGCTTTTCTTATGATAATGAAAGTCTTCGAGATAGCAGCAATAATTGCTGTAGGATGTAAATTAAAGGTAATGAATAATAAACCTTGATTATCTTCAAGGTCTTCGGATTTCTTCATAACTTCATATACCATCCTGTGCCCTTTATAAGGCACACACTTTGCCAACAGGCATTTCACTTGTGACTAATCTAACTCCAAGCTTGTCCTTGAGTAGGCATTGAGGTTTCACATTTGTTTCATTATAGCTTCAATTCTGAAAGTTGTTTTTTTTTTATCAAAGACTTTCATCAAGATTAATCGCATTATACCCTTTATGCCTGTTGATTTTAGTTGCCACAAAACACCAAAGTCATCTTTGGGACTCTAATACCCATAAGACTCTGAACATCCCCTTTTCTGACCCATTTCTTAGCTTGTTCAATACCTTAAATCTTTCCACTGTTCCCTCTAAGACACAAAATTGCCTTCTCTGAACATTCCCTTCACTTCTTGCTTTAAAACCAATCAACCCTGCAGCCCTCTTCGCTGCAGCCCAAACTCCACTACTATTAGGCCTGCAGGTAGAAAAGATGACATGCCTGTTGCTTGTTGATCCTTCATTCTTCCTCCCTCCTCCATAAACATTCCCATGTAAATTTTATGACATCAAGTTACAACACTAACTGCCTTTCCCTGCTCCAGTGTTCAAACACCATCCAAGCCAGTATCCACTTCCCCACCTCCCCCCTACATTCCTTAGAGATTTTAGTTCCTAACTCCCTGACACTGTCTCAAACCCTATTCTTGTCATAATTCCCAGTTGGCTTCAGTGTTCACATAGATGATCCATCTAATAAATTTCACTCAGTGCCTTGACCTCCTCTCCTCCAATAACTTTATCCTCTACCCTACTCAGCTACATACTCTCATCCATAACTTAATCCTTGTCATTCCTAGTAACTACTGCCTCTCAGTCATCTCAGTATGACGTATTCCACTCTCTGACGACCATCTCCTCTCTATTTAGCTTGGAATCTGGAAAATTCCAACAACCCTCTGACTGAACTAGAAACTACTATTCATTTATTCTAACATATTTTTTTAATTTAAATCTTTATTGTTAAAAGTATTACATATATCTCCTTTCCCCCCCCCATTGATCCCTTTTAGCTCGCCCCCCACCACCTGCCCCAGGTCTTCTCCACCCTATTGTATGTGTCCATGGGCTCTGCATATATGCATACAAGTTCTTTTCACCCACCCACCCTCCCCTGCCTTCCCTCTGAGGTTTTAACATATTTTTATTGTCTCTCGCCCTTCAAATCGTAACTTTTGTCCTTAATATAGCTTAAATATAAGGGTAGATCATAACCACTCATATTAGTTGCACCGAATGGACTTTCCCTTCTCTTTTGTAAGTATACTTTGTGGGACCACTAGCGTGGAGATGGTGAACGTACGGAGAAGATTGACTCATATAGCTTCATATAAACTTGGCATTACGGTATCTACAAAGGAGTAGAGACCCTTTGTTACTATCACCTCCAAGTCAAATAGGCCTTCATGAGCCTCAGCAAACCCTGAAAGCCCCAGTTACCTAGGAACCATAACTTATTTCCATTCACAAGATAGCACACTGGTCCATTAATTGATGACACAATGCTGATTGGACCTGGTGAGAAAAATGCAGCAGCTACTCTAGACTTTGTTATAAGACACTAACATGCAGATATTAGTATACCGTTTTTGGAAAAACAGCTCTTGGATTGCTTTTGAACCTTAGTAGAGACTGAATGCACAACCATGCATGAGCCATTAAGATACCATGTACCTGTGCTGCCCATCATGAACTGGGTGTTATCTAACCCACCAAGCCATAAATGTAAAACGCACAGCAGCACTCCATCAACAAGCAGAAATGGCATGCATGTGATTGGGCCTAAGCAGACCCTGAAAGCACCAGTTACCTGTGGAAGTGACCCAAATGCCTATGATTGCCACTCTTGCCACACTACCTTCTCTCTCCCAGCTTGCAACTGTGGTGTCATAGGGAGTTGCCTATCATCAGTTGACAGAGGAAGAGAAAACTGGCCTGGTTTACTAGATAGTCTTGGACAATATGCAGGCACCACCCAAAAGTGGGCAACTGCAGCACAAGAGTCCCTCTTTCTGGGACATACCTGAAAGATAATAGCAAAGAGAAATTCTCCCAATGGGCATAACCATGAGCAATGTATCTCGTCCACTTTGCTTGGAAGAAGAAATGGCTATGAATATGATTACATAATAATTTATAGTCTGTGGCCAATTACTTTTTCCCCAGCCACCACTGTTATTCATTGCAAAGTGACCAGGGTAACAGGGATGAAGGTTACACATGGGCTTCCACTCAACAAGGCCATCCTGGCTATGGCCACTGCTGAGTGCCCAATCTGCTAATGGCAAAAACCCAGACTGAGTTCCTGATATGGCACCATTCCCATGATGGTAGCCAGCTACCTGGTGGCAGGTTGATTACATTGAACTTATCCCATTATGGAAGGGTCGGTGTTTTCTTTTACTGGAATAGACATTTTCTATAGATATGGATTTGCCTTCCCTGCATACAATGCTCCATGCAAGAACTACCACCTGTGAACTTACAGAACTTATGCACCATCATGGTATTCTATACAGCAGTGCTTCTGATCAGGGAATTCACTTCACAGCAAATGAAGTGTAGCAATGGACTCATGATCATGGAATTCACTAGCTTTACCACGTTCCCCAACATCCTGCAACAACTGGCTTGACAGAACAGTGGAACAGTCTTAAAGACTCAATTAGTGTCAGCTAAATGACAATAACTTGCCAGGCTTGAGCAAAGTTCTCCGAAAGGCTGTATATGCTCTGAATCAGCATCTGT